TGAAATATAAATTATACGATTATTTTAACGTGATTTACAATTTTTAATTTAACGAGCGTATATCGGTTCCACCGAAATTACCCTTCTTATATTTTAAAATTAACGGTAATAATATTATGGTTATGATACGAAAATACGAAAAAATACAAAAAAATTAATTAAAAATCACATAAAATATCTATAATATAAAGGGTTGCAATCCAATCGATTTTGTCGTGACAATAATTCAAGTACAAACACAATATTTAAATTTAAAATACACGAACAAAAATTCACTATAAAATGTAATAAAAAAAGTAATAATAAATTATACGGTTATTTGATTATTTAAAATACGGTTATAAAATATAAATTATACGGTTATTTTTAATGTGATTTTACAATTTTTAATTTTGCTAATTTAGATTGATGTAATGTAAGTGAAAATTGTTTTGATCAGCCAAAAAAAACTAGTTATTAAAACCTAGGTATAATAATAATAATTAATTTAATTTAATTCTGTTGAAATAACATTTTTAGTTGTATTTTTTTATTTTATTCCAATAAAAATCTAATATTCTATTGGTTGATTGACTCTGCAAGAAGTTTCGCTTCACCGCGCATACTCGTAACACGCAATTTTTTTAAGTGTGAATTTTACTTAGTTAATTACAAGCTTAAGATCACCATAAGAGGCATTGAGCCGACTGACCTCGGGCCATATCTTTCTGTTTTGAAATGTTGCTTACTAAGCTCATACAGTAGGCAACACAAGACACTTGATTTTTAAAATTTCATTAAAATAAAATAAAAAATTGTACTTTAATCTTAAAGCAAGTAGAAAGTCACTTTTTTGGTAGGAGGTTTCTGATCTGACATACAGCTAGACTTACACTACAGTTACTCAGTACTTAACTTGCAAAATACTTTTTCGAAACTAGGTATGAATTCTGGTTACTACATAGTGGTTATAAAATGGTAATATTGTTTGTGGGGTATTGCATTGTCCAAGCTAAGTTTTAAATCAATTTTATGTTATCGATAACATGTTAAAAAAAAATTCTAATTTTGCTATAAAAAAACTGTGTGTTAAATAGTACATATTCAAGTCATTGTTAATTTAAATGCAAAAAAAAGCGGTCAGTATTTGGTCGGAGATGCAGTCCAATACGCGCTTATTAAAACGCGTATATAATTAATTAACTCAAACGGTAAACATACTACGACTATAATAGTTACAGTTAAGTATAGATAATTACTATTTTAATTGTATTAAAAAAATTATTTTAAAAATGATAATTATAAATATAATATTATGATCACAATTACATTAAATACATAAAAAAATAAAGCTTATCTAAAAGTATAAACAACTCCTAAAAACAATTATTAAAAAAAAGACGGGTACTGTGTTACCAGAAACTGCATCTAATATATAACTACCTAAGTTAACCTAACCTAACCAAATGTAGATGATAAATAAAATCATAAAAAATATGACATCGTATACTCAGAACTTTGAGACCTAAAAATTTTAACATAACACAAGTAAAAATATTAAATTGAACAAAATTCGGCGATTACATAACATGTTTACCTAATATATTGCTTACTAACAAAAGAAAATTGAAAACTATCCTGTGACATTTGTTTATTTTTAAATGTGATCAAGTTCTTCACCAGCTAGTGCATTATGTATTAATTTAAATAATAGTGGGTATTACTAACAAGAGTGCTACAAGTGTTGCAAATATAGCAACATACTTAATGAATAAATAGAAGAACAGCTTTTGTGATATCATATTAAAAACGTTAACAAAACAGAAAATCTTATTTTTACACACAATTATTTTAAATATATTACTGTGGTAATTTGAACTATGAAATTTCAGCTATTTTGTTTGTTTTTATGGGAAACCCAATTTGAAATGTACACATTTTATGCAAAATTATCTCAGCTTTCTAAAAGAAATATTAGATAAAAATTCTCAAATTTTAGGCAACATTAAATCTTATATTATTAAAATAAATAAAAAACTAAATTTTTAAATTACAAATTCAATTTGAATCATTTTCTGTTATTTTCTGATCAAAGTTTCAAGTTTAGGGCAGGAGTAAATAATATTATTTTTATGTGCGCGCACTTCCCAGCTGCACTTCCCTTTCCATCCTAACTTTATACAATCAAAATTGGGCCAATGTGGTTTAAGTGGTTATTAGAACTTTACAAATTTGGAGAAAATTGTAAATACTTAACTATATTTTAACATATCAGTGCAATTGAGTTTAATTCAAAATTTATACATATTTTTATTATGAATATACTAACCAATTGATTATTTTGAGATGCCGAAACTTGATAACTACTATATTTTCCTTGTAAAGCTTGATGGGTTTGTTGATTAGAATTCATTAATTGCTTATTCGCTATGTTAATAAATAAATCAATTGTTAGCATACAAATCTTATAAGGAAATTCAAAATATAAAACTCCTCGCTTTCAAAAAATGGTTGTTGTCTAAAAATATTGGAGGAAAACATTGCATTTCCAATGTCCCGTTGATTAGATACACCAGACTTTTGAAAATCGTCATTACCACCACTACTTATATTTTCTTTCGGGTAATGAACTTGACGAGACTAATGAAATATTAATAAATTATTAAACCGCCGAGGCGTTTATAACGGTCAAATTATAAACAAATATTTTCATGCATTACCTGATAAGTATAGTTTTGCATATTTGGAGGTGGGGCGTTTTGTGGAGAACCAAATGCATTTGGTATGCCAAATGTATTACCGGACGCACCAGCCACTACTTGTGCTTGGAATGCAGAAGCGACATTTGGAATAAAACCAGCATTAGTTGGTCCTGCTATACGATTGTTAAATAGTTATGAGAATTTACTAGATTTATAAGAATTAACAAAAAAATAAAATTTAAAAAAAACAACAATACACTCGTTGAATTGGTTGAATACAACGATGACGAAGACTGCAATGGTGTGGCTCGTGCATTATTTATTGTGTTGTATTGTTGATTAAACATAGTATTTGGATCATATTGTACCATGTACTAAAAAAAAAAAAAAAAAAAAATATTAAAATGCTAGGGACGCTACTTTTTTAAAGGTATCTAGAGTACCTCTACTACTTTTTTCTCAAGTCAAGCACTGTGTTACTGTGTATATATAGTATATTATTATCTAGACTCATGTCTAGGAATTAGTCTATTATTATTATTTATATTTAGTTGTCTGTACAAAATATACGGGAATTACCTAGCTCTGTAATCGAGAGGATTCGATAACAACACCCTCCTCACAAGTCCCGTGCATTGGCCGATACTTATACGTACTACCATGATATAATTAACAAGGTATGGTCTTAGCTCATCAGCCGCACAGATTTGCTGGTGGTCACTGGATGAAACGCTAAAATTTGTTTATATTATCCAGTTATCATTGTAATAAAAAGCAAATCATTGTAATGGTACTAATCTACTGTAGACTGTAGTATTGTTTATTTTAAAAATGTCTAGTAAAAGTAAAATAACTAGCTATTTTTCTGCAAGTAGCTCTCTACTTCTAACACTCAGTGGATGATAATGAGTCAAACTGTGAGACTCATAGAAAACAAAGGCCATCAACTGAAAATTACTGCGCGATTACAGAAAATCAAATTGTAGACTTGGCGGTAATATTTGTTTAATTAAGTTAATGTCAAATGTTTTATTTATCGTGCAAATTGGGATATTAATTACATGTATAATAATTTGTGAATACTTTTTATTTTTTCAATTGTAGCTACTATTTAAAAAAATCAAATTTTGGATATCGGTATTTATATAAGCACTTATATCAATAAATAACGAGTAATTAATATATTTTACATTTCGTCTGTAGCCCAACCGGCGGCAGTGTTCGAGGTCCGTTGCTCGTAGTGAAGCCACGCCCATGCGCATGCGCACAAGTCGGCCGCCGAAGTCTGTTCTTATTCTGAATAGAGTATATTGAAACTTGGATTTACTTCTTTATCGTAATCTGATGTTCTTTTTTAAGTGTGTGGATTTAATCGGTTTTTGTTTTGCTTTGCGACCCAATTATCGTTGGCCTTAGGACTCCGTTCAATTGCCTTTTGTATGCCAAATAATAATTGTTCGTACTTTCACATTTCTTTTTCAAATATGAATAATCCATTTAACATTGTGTCCATCAGGTATACCAAATGGTTTAATTCTAGTATAAAATACGAAATATATTCATTTTGCTTCAAGATCGACTTAAATGCTTTTAAAGTTTTAGGGTAGTTTGGGTTTTTTCACGTACGTTGTTTTCGAATAATTCAATTTAAAATTTAAATTTTCGATGTGTGTTCCTGACAATGACAGTTCATTTTGTAAGTTACAAGTTTCTTTTTGTAACATTGTGATCATGTAATTTTATTCATGAACTCTAATGGTTAGTTATTTTGAGGTACTTTCGATTTTATTGTAGGCAAACATTTATTTACCTATCTGAAAATGTTATTAATACATGGATTAACACAAGATTCTGATTATAATATTTAATTCAATTCTAATTAAAGTTAAGATATGTGTTTATTTTTTTTTTTTTTTTAAGGTACAAAAGAAAAAGAAATGAATAACTCTAGTATGTATTGTGTAATAAAATAAAAGTTTATGTTATTACGAATTTATATAGAGTTTTGTTGTTTATTTGTGTGTGATATCAGAGAAATGAGAGACGAGAGAGAGAAAGAGAAAAAAATTTGAAAAAGTAACACGAAATGGTGAGAAGCAAAAATTTAAAGAGGAGTTGGCTGTGCAAATATAATATTTATGTTTTTTTACAATTTGGTTTGGCTTATCGTTTTCGTTGCTGGTTTCTTTCAACATGGATATGTTTTGGGCTAGGGTCATTCGGAAATTCGTGTTACGATTTCATGTAATGAAACAATGGCGATTTTGCCGGTTATACCCTACGGGTTATAGCCTAGGTAAGTGTGAACTAAAGAGTCCACCCTTTTGATAGTGTAAATATGATGAAGTGGCTGAATAAGGAGTGTCGAGATCTAGCTATGTAGTGGAAGATCCATAGCATCTTATGTGCGTGAACAAACTGAGTGGACGGTGCGAATGAGTAATGACCAAGATGTCAAAGCCCTATCTTTACAAAAAAAAAAAATTAAAATAATTTTTGTAATACTAAAGATTTGATTAAAAATATAAAATAATAAAACTACTATTGATGATCATATAATCGGCGGGCTATAATGATCTTGTTTTAAGCTTGTGGGTACTACAACACGGCTGTTGATCATTTTGGTAATATACACATGGTTTACTGTAGTTGAAAAAAACCATAAGTTTTATACAAATAATCAAATTTACATTATGTTTATCGCGTATTGGGTTAGTGCAAATTTTAACGCACTTGTGTGCACGGCGCCCGCCATGTCGTCTTCATAAATCGTACACCCGAAAACACCTACTGGAATGATAAACAAAACAAACATTTACAAATCTCAATCCCGTATTTATTTACTTACATGGTTTCAAACTAAATACCAAATTATATTTCGATGATATAGGCGCTTCCGTGCTTGCGTTAGTAGCTGTGCGTTTTACACCTCTTTCAATAACAATTAATGCAATTTAATTTATTTTATTTTCAATAACAATTACTCTTGCTCAAGTACCTGCATCTCACCGTTTTTTGTAAGATTACCAAAAATGGAGCCCCAATTAAAGTTGATCGCGTCGGTTATCGCCACATTGTCCGTTGTTACCATGATAGAGAGCCCAAAAACATCAAACCAAGAACGATATTCAAGTATTTTTTCGTTCAAGAGAGGAAAATTCGAAAATAAAGAGTCGACGAAGTCGTTTAATTATACCGCCGTTGTCAAAGAAATCCTCTGCAACGACGCGTACTACATGTTGTCGTATTTGCAACTGACAATTCCTCATTACTTTAGTTATCCCGACCAAGTGAACAGTTTACAAAATAAAATCAACACCAAGTATAATGAATGGGCGACGAAAATGTTGGCAACCGCGTTCCAGGTCGCTCAGAAGGACAACGATATGGAGGTGCCGTGGCTGCTGTACTTATACGTCAAGCGGATAGAAGTGCACGCGGCTAATGACCCGAACAGAGAATTTCTGCCGGTCATGCGGACCGCGCACTATGGGATGTATATGGTGCTGCTTTGCTCGATGTTGGAGAACGATTGCACGATGTACGATCGGTCGACCAAGCGGGAACGCAAATTCACTGAGTACGTGGCTGACATGAAACAATCAAGACCAATATCTAACAACTTTCCGCAAAACTCATCTAAGGTGTCGAAACTTATGAAACAGCACTGGCCCAACCTGTGCCATAACTCTAGTCTGGGCTATCGGTCAAGTTTAGATTCGTATTTCTATGTACCGGGGGTTCGGCCTCTAACCGAAAAACATTTGACATTGGACATGCTATATTTGAAAGACGTATTCGGGAACATTGAAATGGCGACCACTCTTATCACGGAATTCGGAGTATTTGAAAACGGACATCCGCTGCTCATCTATCTGGAGAATAAATTGATCCAGATCAAAAGCGGCGGTACGTCTTTTCGACAGTACGTCTTGTCACTAGTGGACTTCCACGAACACGTGATACGAGCGTTGAACACGATGATGTTACGGATCTATTATGATTTCTTCGAGAAGTTGAAAACGGTAGACCAAGACAAGCGGGAAGAACACGTGAAACAATTTTTCAGACCATACAAAGATTGGTGTGTTTTTTTACACTTGCCCAAATATAATTTTTTATACCATAAACTCGTGCCCGATTCGCAGGATTACGATAAAAATTTTACGGAAATAACCATCAACGACTTACAGCAACGGGTGATTGCCAAGTTGAGGGAACAGGACAACAATTCAAAGGTCGCCTTGTACAATCACACGGCCGCGTCGTTAGAGAGGATCAACATCGACGCAGAGCACTTAAAGGTCATCGCGGTCGAATATGAAATTCCGCTCGACCCTGTATTCCTAGCCTCGCTAAAGGATCCGACTGAAAAGAACATTCTATGCATCGAAGTTTTGATTGGATTGATGAAAAAGATATTTGACGGTACTCACTATAAAGCAATCCACTCGTTGGGCAAGCTCGCAACATCGAAAAACTTCAAGCGACTTTGTAAGTTCGAGCAGCAATACCACGAGGACGTGTTTTCGCGTGAAGATGATACGTTTTCTATTGAAGTTTGTAGCACTCAAACGATTTAGTACTAATACCATTTTACCACAACGTACGAATCGTCGTTATCAAAGTATTATTATACTATAATCATTATTTCATTATTAAAATATTAAATGATATCATAATATTATATTTAATTTGTTTAATGATCACAACCTTTATTTACTTATTCATTTACTGATTCACTGATTTTTCATTTACTTTACATTTAATAATTTTCATATCAAAGGTAATTGTGATTTTGGTTGTAATGTCGTATATAAATAACAAACTTTTTTTTTTTTTTTTTTAAACCGTTTAGTCTTGGTAATTATTCGGACGATCAAGTGAAAAACTATTGATAGTCTGGGTCATAATCTAATTACTTTATATTATTAAGTTTACTAGGATACTTTTATTATTAAAAGCACCAGTTTAATAATATTATAATAAATACGTTTTTGAATAGTGTAGTTTCAATTTAGTTAAATATTCTGTTTACACAAAAATATCTAACGACTTATTTATCATTACATTATGAACTCAACAATAAAAAATGTGTTAACTAAAAAACAAAATATACGTAGGAGGGAAAACATATTTTGTTTATATATTATTATTGATTTTTATAAAAAATGTATATTTGTTATAATTTATGTAACAATATGGTGCTATTATGCACAAACATTCAAACGTTCTGATACACAAATAATAAAACATGATATGACCAAAAAACCACTTGTTTTCCATAAAAAATAATAGTGTTACTATAAAAATTGTATTTTTTAAATACAACAGTTCTCTTGACGTAAAAGCTTTAAAAATGTGTGATG